GTTGGACGAGTGTAAGCCCATGGAAGATATGATACGATGAGATAAGAAGGTGCGGCTGCTTGATAAGAGGTGCACTCCAGAATGAAAACGGGACGATAACGATAACGGTATCATATCTAGCACGCTCTTATCGCACCCCTTTCCACATCGATAAGTCTTGGGTTTTGCTGAACTTGAAGTGAATTTCGGCTCCTTATCACTCCGTTGATAAGGCGCCACTGCCACTGAAACTTTACGTGTTCTAACATTGGGCAGGACCTCTATCCACTCCAATACATAGCTTTCCTTATCGTTGCCATGAAAATTATCGTGACTGCTTCCTTTTTGATAAGAGGTGCACTCCAGAATGAAAACGGGACGATAACGATAACGGTATCATATCTAGCACGCTCTTATCGCACCCCTTTCCACATCGATAAGTCTTGGTTTTTGCTGAACGGAAGTGGATTTCGGCGCCTTATCACTCCGTTGATAAGGCGCCACTGCCACTGAAACTTCACGTGTTTGTAACATTGGGCAGGACCTCTATCCACTCCAATACATAGCTTTCCTTATCGTTCCCATGAAAATTATCGTGACCACTTCCTTTAAAAGAAGCGATCACGCTGGCTTCCACGTGAATCGCCGCATTCCGCGCGTTGTCGACTGATAAGGTCGAAGACAGATGATGTTAGGACGAGCATAACCCTATGGAAGATAGGGTTATGATTATGAGGTGCACTCCAGCATGAAAATCGAACGATAACGATAACCGTATCATATCTAGCACGTTGCTATTGCATCCCCTTTCACGTCTAATGAGGAGGTGTAACGCCGAACCGGAATTGGGTTTCGGCGCCTTATCACGCCGTTGATAGTGCCCCTGAAGCGGCACCTGTCGTCCCATTAGGTAGGACCCCCACCGAATCCACTACGTCACTTCCCCTATCGTCTCCATAAGAACTTCCGTGACCACTTCCTTTAAAACAACAACTGCAGACTGGTCCATACAACTGGTACTAATCTAGTGGTAAAATGCATGCGCCCTAGTCGATCCCGGATTTCCCCTAGGTTAAGACTATGAGCTAATTAAAGGCAGCAGTTGCCATTGTACCTACTCCTGCCTTTCTACTGGCAATATTCGTTCAGAATAACTAAAAGGACTAATTGCATCGAAGTACAGATTCTACAGATGTATACAGAAATGGAAACGGAAATGCATTACCAATTTAGGCATATTTCAGGTCATCCTATTTAATATACATCATCCTCCTGAGTGCTGCATCATTCGGCGCAATAGTCCTGCCATCCATCACTTTGTCGATCGCTGCCACGCAGTTAATACCGTACTCTCAACAACTAAAGGTTTGCGAATTTATCAAGCGGTATTCGATTAAAACATTTTGCTCTTCGAAATAAGTAATTCCGCAGCCAAAAGAAGAAACGAATTTCTGAGCCTTTCGATAGAATTCAGCCATAGGCAGTCCTAGCAGTACTTGAGAGAAGTTCCAGCGCAAAGTATTGGAAGAAGCGCGATGCAGTCCAGAAAATCAGACGTGGGTCACAGGGGCAGGGTGACTCGGTCGAAGATTGGTTGACGACTCGTCGAGGATTTTTGCCTGTACAGTCGTCGACATTCACCTTTGCCACACGCGAGCCGTCTGTACTCTCCGCGAGTACATTCACTCTCGACCTTGTTCCTCACATACTTCAGAACCAGGGTCGAGGAGCAGGGTCAACCCTACGTTGTTACTAGTAACAACGGGGGGTCGTACCTGGTTGAGTTTATAGGAGGGGGGGTCGTATCCGCTTCAGTCGCGTGAAAGTACATGTGAGTTTGTGGTGAAAGTGGAGTTTTCACGAGTAGTAGGCTAGGTGAGTTGGGAGCGCATGGGAGAAAAATTCGCCGTTTCAGCGCGCGTATATCCCCCCCTCCCCCCCCCTAGAAGAATGAAGCAGTGGGATTATAGTAGAGGTGGGGTGAATCGGTTAAAATTTAGGGAATTTGGTAAATTTTTACTGTTTCATAGTGTTTTCATAGTGGCTATGCCCCCGATCGACGGAAATTTTTGGAGGAAAAAGTGGGCGGAGTTTCGTGGGTTGAGTGGTACCAGAATTAAATACTATAGAGAGGAATATGGTGGTCGAGGTGTGGAAAAGGGGGTCGTACCAAGTCCACCTTGGGGGAGGGGGTCGTAAAAATTTTTGAAAAAGTAACAACGATAGGACTGACCCTGGTCGGGATTTCCCTAGAGCGTTATGCACCCTTCGCTGGGATCCGTACTGCCGACCTGCCGACTGAAATGAGTCCTTCAGCTTTCAGTTTCGCCGGTTGGCATAAATTGCAAATACGCGTACATCTACGAAGGTGTACCATTATTGATAGTGGTTTTAAGCGAAAGCTGATACAATTGAGTAAGCGTACCGTATTTTCAAAAACCCCGCAATCTCACCTGTGTAATGTGCTAATTTCAAGCAGAAGAAATTCAGAGTGACGTCATCGGTATTTGCTTGGCACTCGCTACGGCACTTCTGGCGGCCACAATGTGCTGCTTTTCCGGTTATGCGACATCTCGATCGCTAACGAATGTCACACAATGGTACGAACAAGATTTAAACTTTTTTTTTGCTTCAAAAATATTAAATATAAACAAGATAGTAAAGGCAAAAGTTCCCTGTCATACTGCAGCTATCTTTTCGCTACGAGAAGGACCAACCTGTTCTCAATAATTTTGTAAAGGATAAAAGGATAAAGCATTTGCCGTTGATCAATCCCTTTTTGGGATGCGGCACGCATTCTACTTCCATTTGTACATTCGTAGTGGCGTTTGAATGCGATGTGGCCTATACAATGACTTGCGGGGGCCAGCCGATGTACAAGTCAGTGTTTTTATCCTCCCAGACAAGTCTGGTACCAATTAACCGACCCGGAGGGATGGAAGGCTTGGTTGGCCCGGGCGACTCACGACCCAGGATTTGATCCCGGACCGCTCGCGTGGTGAGCGCGCCACTTGTCACTACACCACTTCCGCCCTCAAATTAATCTCAAACGTTCAATTATTATAAAAACGTTCTGAAAGAGCCGCTGTCAGTTTTGATATAGATCTGAATTAGTTTCGACATTGAGTCGATGGTGCGGCGAAGCTGGAGAGTCGTCTGGTTTGACGAAAAAAATTCTCCCATTTAAGCAGCTAAAAACTCCTAAATCACCATCAACTTTTTTGCTCAGCTCTTGGGAACATTTGTAATTGGAAAATACCTGCAAGAATTCCGTTCGCTGAAAGTTTGATGATTTGGAGCAGTATCAGTGCTTTGGGCAACCCTCCATTGATTTTTATCGATAAAATCATGGAAATCAATGCGAAGATATATCATGAAGAGGTCTTCAAGAAAGCTCTGGTGCTCTGGAAGCAGAGTCACAACAATCTTGTCTTTCTTTGTCTCATGAACAAAAAATAAAGTCAGGATATTTTTCGTGGCGCACGTAATTTTTCGCCACCCTGCAGTCACTGCTGCTTGACATGGATTGTGTAGGCTAATGAAACTATCCAGTTTGCCATCGCGTCTCAAACCAAAATTGGTCAAACTGATTTTTACCTCTTCACTATTGTTGTTATCTAATTGGTTGTTGACTGCTTAAAGCGCCTTTGCTAAGGAGGAAGAAGAAAATATGAAGCGTTGTTTATAAAATTGTGAGTGAACCTGATGACAAGAACAACGGTGTGAAAACCAACTGATTGATCTCGAAAAAGTCTGTCTTGTTTGGCCGCGTGAACCACCATGTGGCGCACAACGGTGCACGCATAGCTATGCGCGCCCTCAAAAACAACTCTGTCCGCAACATAACGGGTGAGAGTTCTGCAATCCCCTCAAACCCACTGCTTTCAGGAAAGCCTCGCCAGCACTCGCCAATCAGTCATCACTTTACTCATTTGCTTTACGGGAAGTGATTGTCGCTACTTATGCGCTGCTCGCTTCGGTGTTCTTCTTTGTTGCGGCCGTACAACGAAACTATGGTCTCGTCATTGCATCGGCTGTTATTCAGATGTAAGTTGGGTAGGCATCATAGCAAGTGGGACTTCGAGCAATCCACCATCTATTACACCTCCGTCCATAATAATTGAAGCATTAACCCATAACGGACGGCGTGCGCCACAAGGTGGCGCACGATTATTTCTTTTGTTTTTGGAATGTTTCTAGCAATCTTAATATACCCATATATACTCTCAGCAATGTGGAATAACATATCTTCCCAGGACCTGGACGGCTGGATTTTTGACAAACCTACAATAAATTTTACATACATTTTGTCTTAATTTACATAAGTTTACTATTTGATGGGTGGCTTACCCATGGTTCGCACGTCCCGAGACCCCTTCCCCTAAATATAGCCACATCCTTGCTCGGGGTTGTTGTTTCGCATTTTTCGATAATGTCACCTACAGCTTCCATTCATTCTTTGCACCCTAGTTTTAGAGCGGAAAGGCGGGCTACGAACTTGTCGTCAACGGAAATCTCTTTTTTCGGATGATGAGACTCCGACACCTACTTTAGCCCCGTCTTACCCCTGCTGTTCACATAAGCCTACATAAACCCTACCCTGGGTGGCGGCGTGCGCCACATGGTGGCGCACGCGAAAAATACACTGGCCGTCCGTTATGGGTTAACTAGGCAATTTGGGACTACAGTAGCGCTATAACTTGCATTTTCAACTTCAACGAAGCCTAGGCAAGGGAGTAGAGCTTAATCAGCGGACATTGTTGCGGCATGCAAGGACCCAGACAAGTACCTTGCCTGCTGATCAAGGCGTGAAGTTTGTCACAAAGAAAGATAAATCCACGTGAAGGAACAGTCCGTTTGATCCGAAGTCTACCGATCTTCATCAATCCCCGAAGGGTGAGTGTTGGGAAAATCAAAAATATAAATACTATGTTGATTACAAGAGAAATGACTTAGTATGTCAATTGGTATGGTGTGAAGCAAGTGAAATTTTATCACGCGCGGCGTACCTGTGGGGTCGATCCAGGGTTCCTCTAGGATCTGCTAAGCTGATAACAGATTTGTTCAAAGGACAGCAACACCAAATCAAATCCCTTATCGGCTCTCCCCTCCTCTCCCCCAACCTCCTACCGCGAGGTTGTCATACAGATATTAGGAGCACCACTAAAATTTAAATGGGAATCTTGCACGAAGCGCCACCAGAAGATAAGAATCGAGGCTAAGGGGTGCTTTAGTGAAGTCGGGACCACTTTGCCATCCCAGACGAAACGAGCACTTTTGTGTCTATCCAAACGCGATGAAGCGGCTCTACATAGAATACGAAAATGGGAAGTGGCATGATTGCATTACATTGCATTCGTCCTGCCCTTCCATCCCGTTCGTCCATTTTCAAAGCAACTATACGTGTGATTGATGAATGAGGCAATCAACAGTGATTTTTTTCAGCATCTGCCTAGTTGCTCTGAGTCAATTGCTCAGTCCATCTCGACTCAGCGCAGTACTAGTCAATTCTCGTGTTCTTGCCATAGACAACAGCTCATACCCTGTTGCCCAAGTCAAGTAAGTTTGTTGGTTTGCTACAAAGAGTGATTCCCATGAAAATTGTTTGCCACATTGATATCAATGTTTTGACCGATATTGACGTTCTTAGAGGCATTGACAACCATGCGGGCCGTATGTGACCGCATTTTGCATCCACGTGGGGCAGCGCGGGTCATATGTGCCCTGCATCGTTCTGCCAACTTTTTTTGTGCATACACTACGTCTCTTCAGTTTTTTGACTTCTGCTCCATGAATCATAACATTGAAAATCATGCAAATCACGTGAGTTACAGAGCGATCGAGTATGCTTCGGCTCGGTCAAAGTTTTCCATAATCTACGAAATTTTCACCCTGGTTTTCTCCCGTTTTGTTTTTATTGTCATGAACATGAAACAAGATGAGTTTGTAAACAATAAGTTAACATAAATAAAAGTGGAAGTCTATGGGTATGCACAGAACTCCATGTGTGGCAAGTGTTTTTATCGCGACCATCAATGCAACTTTTGATGAAAAAGACAAATGTTTTTTGATATCCACTTCAGCGAGAGTTGATGAATTTTGCTTTTGTAGAAACTTCGCTGTTGCACTTCTAGATAACTCATGCATATTGATCACTGTCAAAATGACTTTATGTTACTCAGAAGTTACGCTTTTCTCTGAAAATCCACGGTTTGAGCCGTTTAGACACGGCGAGCACACGGAGTCAGCGTGAATTATGATGTTCCTGCCGCAGTCACGTACAATGCGCGACGCATTGACGCGCTGAAGCGTTGGCACAGGGATGCGCAATCTCACGTGCCATCGATTTTCCATGTGTGCTCACCTCCCACTTCTCGTTTTGTCCGCGCTCTCTCAACGAAGAGAGAATGCGTCGAGCAAACTCTCCAACTATACTATGCGCAATGCGCCGCGCATTGTACGTGACTGCGGCGGGAGCATCATAATTCACGCTGACTCCATGGGCTCACCGCGTTCAAACGACTTAGGTCCAAATCCACTCATCTGAGGTGGAAGGAGCGTGTTAGATAAATCACACTGGTCCCACGCGACCAAAAATTCAAAACGCGCTCACGTGTTTTGGCTCATAGAGATCAAATTTGCCACTTTCCTCTCAAGAGTTGTTCTGGAACTTGGTTCGACAATCAACTTTGATAGGGTAGAGCTTTTGAGAAAATTGCAAAACGGTCAATCAAGTGATTATTTCGGTGGGTGGTCTTCCATTCCCCTATTACTTTCGTAGCCAACTTGAACGTAAGCTTGCATCTACGCCCCAGAACTAGACCGCTTTCAGTGTTTTAGCAGTATCAGAGGTTCAGGTCGTCGCAGACTGAGTTGCCCTTGATCCTCACAGATGAAACAGATGAACTAAAACCAGATGGAACGAACTTCCAAGTGATTATCCATTTCAGCGTTGTACTCCTGTATTCATTCATCGTCACACTTCTATTTGTGATCTCGACGCAATTTATAGCCACAGTAATCTCGCTTCGAAGTCATTCCACGACCAACACCTCTACGTCACATAATGTCTATCCTCAGCAGAGAACGAGTTTTTGAGGAAAATCATGTTTTATAAATATTTTTATGACCTTTGTGTGATATGCTGAACGTTCACCTTTGCACACATATTAGTACGTCAGTAATCAGAATAAAGTAAGTATTGTGACCAAAAATCGCAAGTGACACTAGTCGATTTGTTCACTTCCTCTGTGCTACGCGAGTTTAT